ACGGGCGGGGTGTTGGCCGCCATCTTGGCGCAACAGCGGCGCAAGTTTCTTGAGCCGGGGAGCAGCTCGAGCCGTGGGGAAAATACTTGTAGCCCCCCAAAAAAATGCGAAACGGAGATACAGGACTCAGTCAAGGGAGAGGGTAGGGGTAGGACAGGCCACCGCCATTAACCGCCGCTGTGCGAGTCTACCTGCTTGAGAAGGTGACCTGCTTACGGTAATGACATTTTATTCCCTTTACCGTCACCATTATGCACCGTGCTGCAGAGTTGTACCAGCGTGTGCTCACGCAAATGACCGACCTGCAGCAGACTAACGTTGGCTCATCTAAAGCACCAGCATCAAGTGCTGCAGCCAAAATCAGCGGCGGACCTGTCAGCCACACTCATTAATCATGAGATAAAATTCGGCGTTTGAACATTTAGCTGCCATTAGCTTGCTAGCTGGATTTATTACCATGCATTAACAGGACCCTGACTGGTTCCAGCTAATTAGTTTTAACAAAGCTGGGGTGGTGGTGGTCGACATGCACCAGACCACCTCTGTCGTTTGTTTTGGAACACTGTTCGTGTCGCGTATCACACGGACATGCTATTTACTGTGTATTGTGTGGGTGGTTTAATCACAATCAGTGCTAAGTCGGCCGATTTTTTAAAAAAAAATTCTGTAATACCTGCACACGTGCATGTTTTGTGGTACTTTCTGTGTGACATTCTTGGGTGAATTTTGATATCGTGCTGCTGGCTGTTAGGCAGTGAGAGCGCGGCATGCAGCGTAGTAGCAGTGGATTGCGGTATTTCAGGGACTGTATTTGTTCTTCACTGTTAGAGCAAAGTGGAGGGAGGGGAGTGAAACAACTAACACCTAATATGCGGCAAATCCAGGAACCAAGCATGCCGCTGTCGGGTTCAGCGGTCTTTATTCTCCTTGATGATGCGGGTATGAAGTATGATGCACGTAGATGAAGACTGCCATTTGGTGTGTCAGATTATCAGGCTGTTGGATACTAGTGGGCTGAGAACATTATGGTGACATTATCATCACGTGCAGTATGCCACAGCGGAGGTTTACCTCTCCATGGTAAGAAGACCTACATTTATTCTAGTGTGTCTGTGTCACAGCAGCGGTTTGTGCAAATCGCTTTTACATTACAGCAGAGTGACTCCCACTGTGCTGCAGTGCACCACTGTCAGGCAGGAGGGTCCACTCCCATCTCTGTGGTCACCATATGAATATTTAATTTGTTTGGTGGATCTGACCTGATAAACATCACTGCCATAAATTCATTTTCCAGTCATTTCTGAAGTGACTCGTGAATGAATTTAAATAGCATTAGAAATGTAACATCAATTTTTTTCTTCATTAATATATAATAGAGTATATAAAGTATTTGACTCCTTATGTTTGTTCCCAAAATAACACATTAGCAAATGCCCATCAATAGGTGCATGAGCCCAAAATGAAATTCAAAGGTCAGAGTGTTTATTTGTCATATGCACAGTTAGGAATCTTGTTTCCCTGTACAAAGAACTGAAAAAAAATCAACTGGACTTAGATTTCTAGGTCAAAGATGTTTCACCTCTCATCCAAGAGGCTTCATCAGTTCTGACTGACTGGTGTTGAGCCAGAGATATTTATCCCCCTCGGTGGTGTTTCAGTCCTTTGAAGGCCAACAATGTCCCTTGGCGACTGAGTCGTTGTAGCCCAGTATCGGTGAGAGTTGTTACCTGTCTTTGAATCCTCCCGTTGACGGTGGCGAACAGTTTGTGCTGGGGGTGGGTGGGATCTTTGAGGATGGAGGCAGCCTTCCTATGCACCCTGCGGTGGTAAATGCTCTGCAGAGAGGGCAGTGGAGTCCTGGTGATCTCTGCAGTCTTTACCACTCTCTGCAGGCACTTGTGGTCCATAGCAGGAGTGTTGCCATACCAGACAGTGATGCAGCTGGTCGAGATGCCCTCAGTGATGCAGCTGTAGAAGTTTCAAAGGATCCTAGGTGACATGCCAAACCTCCTCAGCCTCCTCAGGAACTACAACCACCATTGGGCCTTCTTGACCAGCTGTGTGGTGTTAAGTGTCCAAGTGAGGTCCTCACTGATGTGGACACCCAGGTATTTGAAGCTGCTCACCCTCTCCACTTTGAGCCCCCTGGATGAACGGTGACTGATGAGATCTCCTCTCCTTCCACATGTCCACTATCATCTCCTTCGTCTTGTTTGTGTTGAGGCTGAGATTATTGTCCTTGCACCATGATACCAGACCGGCCACCTCCCTCCTGTAGGCTGCTTCGTCCCCTCCAGTGACGCGACCTATCACTGCAGTGTCATCCGCGAACTTTAGGATGTTGTCGTCTTTGTGGGAGGTGACACAATTGTGGGTGAACAGGGTGTAGAGGATGGGACTGAGGACACATCCCTGTGGGTTGCCAGTGTTTGTAACAATGCTGGCTGAAATCCTATTGCCAATAACGGTAAAACATGGCGCCCACCGAGGCAAACGTGTTTACGCGCTCCACTCTTAAATGCTGTTTTTTTTTTCTTCGTTTTCTTCTTTTTTGTGTGTGTTTTGCTTTTTCTGCAGTGCACAAATGTCATGCACTGCTTACATACAACAGACGGGCATTGCTGGATATCGCCAACTCACAAAGCCACTGGGAATTTACTGGTTTCATACCACCGGAGCTACAACTCATTGTTCGCTCCAGCGACAATAACAATGGCGAGGAAAACCACCATCGCCCGCGGGGAGCCTCCAGAGCAGCAGGCACAAGCGAGCAGGCTGAAATCAGGAGAGCATCCCGGAGACTGGGCAGGCAAGGAGGACTCCATGCTAGGCTAAAAGCTCGCGCTACCCAACCGCCATTACCCAGCCTCTTCCTTGCTAACATACAGTCTCTGGAAAACAAACTGGACGAGCTAAGGGCTAGGATTACAACACAATGGGAAATCAGAGAATGCTGTGCTCTAGTTCTCACCGAGACCTGGCTTTCTGACAGTCAGAAAGTCCAGGATCCAGTCACAGAGGGTGGGGTGCAGACCCAGTGTGGACAGGTTGTGGGGGACAACTGTGTTGAAGGCAGAGCTGTAGTCAATGAAGAGTATCCTGATGTAGGAGTTTCCATTTTCCAGGTGAGATTGAAGATGGTGGTGAGAACATCAGCCAGCTCGCTGGCACATGCCCCAAGAGCCCTCCCAGGGATGTTGTCCGGTCCTGCCGCTTTCCATGGGTTGATGTTCCTCAGGACTGTGCGTACCTGGCCTGGTGAGACAGTTAGTGGAGGGGAGGTGGGGGGTTGGGTGGTCTTGGTGTGCATGTGCCTCCTCTTTGTGGTGATGTGCTGCAGGCCTTGCCACACCCATCCGGAGTCAGCAGTAGAATAGAAGCCATTCAGCTTCTGTCTGTACTGCCTCTTGGCCACTGTGATGGATTTCCTCAGTCTGTACTTCACAGCTTTGTACTCCGTCTCATCATCTGATCTGAATGCATGAGAGCGAGCACGCAGCATGTGGCGTACCTGACTGTTTATCCAGGGCTTCTGGTTGGGGAAACCTCCTGACTTGTATGGTGGGAGCAATGTTGTCAATACAGGTGCTAATGTATCTGGTCACATACTCAGCATAATCCTGTACGCTGACAGAAAATTCCTTCGAGGGGGCTGCAGCTTTAAACACATCCCAGTCTGTCTGGTGAACCAGTCCTGCAGGGTGCCTTTAGTCTCTGGGGTCCAGAGTTTAATTTGTTTGGTGACAGGGTTTGTTTGTTTCAGTCTTTGTCTGTAAGCTGGATACAGGAACAAAGAAATGTGGTCCGAGCGTCCAAGGTGGGGGCGGGGTGCAGCCCTGTATGCACCACGTATGTTACTGTAAACATGATCCAGAGTGTTCTTGCCCTGAGTGGGAATGTTCACATGTTGGTAATATTTGGGAAGCACAGTCCGTAAATTGCACTGGTTAAAGTTGCCTGCAGCGATAAATACAGCATCAGGGTGCACTGTCTCTAGCGCGTTGATGACATCATGGAGTTTGCTGAGAGCCGCAGAGGGATTAGCTCTTGGGCTAACATACACCTCAGCCAGAAACACAGCACTGTGCTCTCTTGCTAAATAGGGCCGGTATTTCAGCAATAAAAACTCTACGTCTGGCGAACAGTGCTTATGAACAGTCTGTACATCTCCACACCACCAGTTATTGATAAACACACACACCACCTCCTTTTACCTTCCTCGAAGCGGCAGTGCGATCGTTTCGATGTAGAGTGTGCGTTTGTAGTTGAATCGTGGAGTCTGGAACTCTGTCAGAAAGCCAGGTCTCGGTGAGAACTAGAGCACAGCATTCTTTGATTTCCTGTTGTGCTGTAATTTTAGCCCTTAGCTCATCCAGTTTGTTTTCCAGAGACTGTACGTTAGCTAGGAAGAGGCTGGGTAATGGCGGTCGGGTAGCGCGAGCTTTTAGCCTAGCATGGAGTACCCCAATGTTTGCGTCTCCATCTCCGGGATGCTCTCCTGATTTCAGCCTGCTCGCTTGTGCCTGGTGCTCCGGAGGCTCCCTGAGGGTGCTGGTGGTTGTCGTCGTTGTTGTTGCAGGAGTGGACAATGTGTTCTAGCTCCGGTGGTATGAAACCAGTAAATTCCCAGTGGCTTTGTGAGTTGCCGATATCCAGCAATGCCCGTCTGTTGTATGTAAGCAGTGCATGACATATGTGCACTGCAGAAAAAGTAAAAAACACACAAAAATGAAGAAAAAGCCGACATTCGAGAGTGGAACGTGCAAAGACGTCCTCCTCGGTGGGCGCCATGTTTGTGAATCTGAATTTAAATTATGCTAATCTGGTCAACAGTCAGAAGTATTGCACTTATAACAGAAAACATTTATTTACATTTTTACATGGTAAACTATTTAAATAAGGAATGCTGTGCTACATTTTACATTTATGTTTATAAATGTGTTTCTCATCATTTTGGATTTTGTGTGTCCTTTAATGCAATTTGAGGATATTGGCTCAATGCCATTGTAAATGACAGGAAATTTGAAAACTCAGTGTGCCATTGATTCATGCACTTTCTCTCTTACATTTTGAATGCTACTCAAGCATACTGCAGAGGCATTTTGTTTTATGGCTTTAATGTTAGCTTTCAAGTTGTAAGAGGCAGCCTCCACCAAATTTAGGCAACATGGTGGAAAACTTTGTAAGAACATGTGGGATGAGAGGCAGCATAAATATAGTGATAATACAGAACATTTTTAGATGTACATAGTCCCAGTGTGTGTGGAACTTTGGGCAGAAGCAGCGTACACACTTGGATTTTCTTAAATTGGGGTAATGTGATGAGAGCACCATCACTCCCACATATTTAATGGTTGGCTTTGTAGCTCAGTTTGGTAGGTGGTCAGCAAAACAGCCATCCACATTATATAATCATGACACTTACTAAATGTTTTAGGGTGTTATATTTTGCCCCTCTAACATAACTCTTGTCTGTGTTGCAGGAGCTGGAGGCGATCAAAGCTCGGGTCAGAGAGATGGAGGAAGAGGCAGAGAAGCTGAAGGAGCTACAGAATGAGGTGGAGAAACAGATGAACCTCAGCCCACCACCAGGTGTGTTTGTTTTTCTTTCTATGCCATCACCTGTTTCAGAATGCTGGCATACCAAACTCGAACTCTGACCCTGAACTCTGGTATGACTAAGCCTGAGATGAAAACTGGGAGTTTTGTGTTCCATGTCAGCTGGTCAGTCAGTTCAGTCAATTCTTGATTGTGTTTTCTTAGAGTTATATGTGTGAGTGGTGCATGGAAAAAAGCCGTCAGCTCTGGTATTACAGCAGATAGATATAACACCATCAAACTATAACTCTTATCAAACTGGGCTGTGAAATCGAGATTTATGACACCTAAGCCCTGCCTACTTTTTGCATTTTGCTTCTGTCAACATTTATGGTCTCTAATTACGTACTTTAAACGATTTCTCACTTAGGTGTTACTTCAGTGGATTTCATTATATGGTTTTATAACGGTAATCTTCTTTCGGCTGTTCCCGTTAGATGTTTCACTGTGGCGACCCCTGTTTCCACCTAACTCTATCCTCGGCATCCATCCTCTATTCTCACCCCAGTTAACTTCATGTCCTCTTTTAGCACATCCATATATTTCCTCTTTGGCCTTCCTCTTGACCTCTTGCCTGGCAGCTCCATCTCCAACATCCTTCTACCAATATTGTGGGTTTGGTGTCTCTGCACATGTCCAAACCATCTCAATCTGGCCTCTCTGACCTTGTCCCCAAAACAGCCGACCTGAGCTGTCCCTCTGATGTGCTCATTCCTAATCCTGTCCATCCTGGTCACTCCTAAAGAGAACCTCAACATCCTCATCTCTGCCTCTTGTCTCTTCCTCACTGCTACAGTCTCTAATCCATACAGCATAGCTGGTCTCACTACTGTCTTGTACTTTCCTTTGATTCTTGCTGCCACTCTTCTGTTACACAACACTCCTGACACCTTTCTCCACCCACTCCAACCTGCCTGCACTCGCTTCTTTACGTCTTTCCTACACTCCCCATCACACTGGACTGTTCAGAATCAGCCTTATTGGCCAAGTGTGACGGACACACGAGGAATTTGACTCGGGTACATCGGCTCTCAATGTGCAAAATAGTAAACCAGCATAGGGCTGTGTAATATAACAAAATAGCAGTATTAACATCAACAAACAGTGCAAACAATGCAGAAAAAGCAATATAAACAGACAGTAAACAATGCAGACAACAAATGAATGTTGTCTGCATATTTGAGATAAATGGGGATAAAAACAGAATACTTAAAACTAGAGATCTGTATGAGTCTGTATAATCTGTACAATGTGTATATATACACACAGGTATTGCACTGAGGGTTATTGTCTAATCATACTGTTGTGGGTTAAGTGTTCATCAGAGTGACAGCCTGGGGGAAGAAACTGTCCCTGTGCCTTGTTGTCTTAGTGCACAGTAGGGTTGTCAAAAGTATCGATACTTAGATAAGTATCGATTCTGGAATTTCTGAACGGTACCAATTCTAATTTCCCGAAGTATCGATTCTATCGGTACTGGCGCTCTCAGTTTCATTTTCACTTCTCTCCAAAGGCGTGTTCCCAAACGCCGCACGTAACCGCAGTGCCTGTTTCGTCTCATTTCCCTCTGTAAAGTGAAGCGAGAAAGATGTCGAGTGCGGTGTCCCCGCAACCTTCTTTAGTTGATAAGCAACACAGCAGGAGTGCTATTTGGAATTATTTTGCATACGAAGCAAATTATGACGGAAAGCCAAAGGACACGAGCAAGCCACTATGCAAAAGTTGCTACAGAGCATTGCTGACAAAAGGCGCTAACACATCCAATTTAGCAAAGCATCTGAAACACAGACACCCGGATCTATACAAAGAATTTCGAGAGGTTTGTAACTGTTTTCATTTTAACATTACGGAATCAATAACCAAGACGGCGTATTGTTGCTGATATGAGTGTTGTCTCGTGAGTTGTCACAAACGCAGCGCACCAGGTGACTGCGCTAAATGCAGACACTCAATGGAGGTATGAGGGAGAGTGTGTTTTAATAAAACACGCAGGCAGACACACTTGCAAAGGTACAGACAGGGAGCAGGCAACAATCAAATAATGTTTATGTATTAACCAGCATTTATGAACGATGAGCAATACATTTGTTACAGTATATTTTAATCTTTGATAACAGCAGGTAATAAAAATACAACAGATCGTGTTAGCTTTGGTCCAATGAAAAAATATTAACAGAATTTCAGATTTTAATTAGTTCATGTATTAGTAAATGTTACTTTTAAATTAACTTTTAACTAAGATTAATAAATGTTTTGGAAGTATTTTTGATTGTTTATTCATGTTAACTAATGTTAACAAATATCTGTTAACATTATCTTAAGTTATAAGATTAGTTAGATAGTTCAGTTCATTTTAAAAGTGTGTTCTAAAAAGGAAAAAATGTTTAAGTTTGGCATTCTCATGTAGCACCAGAAAGATGATGACTCGACCTGCAACAAAAACACACTCACAACCTACACTACCAGCTTTATTTGAACAGCAAAGAAAGTATGAAGCAAACTCAAATGAAGCTAAGAAGCTGAACAGGGCTGTAGCATTGTACATATGCATGGATCAGGTTCCTTTGTATACTGTTGACAAACCTGGCTTTAAACAACTTCTTGAACATTTGAACAACAGGTATGCCCTTCCTTCACGGAATTATTTCATGCACACTGAAATCCCAGCCCTATATAACGAAACGAAAGAAATAGTCATGAACCATCTTGGAAGGAAACCTTTTTTCATGCACCACCATGATCTGTGGACAAGCAGATCAGTGGTGTTCATGGCAGTAACACTGCAATTTATCACTGAAACCTGGAACATGCAGAGCTGGTGTTTGGGCTGTACTGGGCTCAACTCTGAGCACACAGCAGAATGCTTAAGGGAAGCATTGGAAGAGATGATACAAGATGCATGGAAGCTGGACATGTCATACATGG